CCCCAAAAATCCCGTAAGGGTTATTCATCACTGAAATTCATCCTGGGGAACTGAACAGATGACAGTTTGTAACAAGTACAGTATCTCAGGGGAATACGTTAACAGGTTTCACAGCAAACAGCCAATCCAGTTAACCCTCACTACTGAAAAAGAGCAGTAGCGTTGCTAAACTACCCTGGGTTATTTAATCCAGCTTTGAATAACTCGGCCAAGATCGAATAGAGGGTCAAGTCGTTCATTTGCATCTTGTTACAGTGTAATTTTGATAACAGACGTACTGAATCAGAAAACGCTTTCAAGCTTCATTTGCTCAAGAGGCGTCAAATATCCAGAGTATATGTTTTATAGTGTTTTGTTTTAGGGACATTGCCTCTTTGAGACATTTTGGCCAATGACCGTTATTACTACCCCGCCGATGCATGCATACATGGCATTCATTTCTATGCCATACATTTGAATAATTAGTCGCCTCTGTTTCTGAACCCGACCTTATTTTTGCTAAAGTGAGAGAACACTCCAATGTACTTAAAATAAAGTTTGATTTTTACTCTCAAAAATCTGATCTGTACATTTCTTAATGTAGCATTGTAGTTGTAAAATATTGTTATGTCAAAATTAAAAAGCTGTTACAAACAAAACTGATGAAACAAGAATTAGACTACCAATATCTCAAATCATTATATCATGCAAGTAAAAAGAAAAAGACGATAGTGTGCATTGTTTTCAAACAGAAGATTTTCCACTGACTTCGTCATATAGTTATTCCTCTTTTTGAGGATTTAACATGGCCGAGAAAAAAGGGCTTGGTGGGCTTCCAGAATATGGGACCAAACTTGAGAGTTCTCTTTTTGAGGTATTGAAGGCAGACAAGCCCCTTGTGCTGTGGAAGTTGTATGATAAGTTAAGGAGGACGATATTCAGTTAAAAAGTAAAAACCCTTCTCTTTGATTTAAACAGATAAAAGTGGCAAAAAAAAATTATCGTAAATTGTAGCCAACGTTGCAAAACATACTTAGCGATGATCAAGAAAGTCACCTGAGTGTAGGCGTCTTTCATTTGTCTTAATTTCGTTGTATGAACATGGATTGATAGCTAATAAGGTTTCTCAAGATTGTTACAGTCCGCTGACAAGTAAAGAAGTAAAGTTTTTTGCCCAAAAGGATATGATATCACAATCTTCATCCTCTGTTGCTTCGCGTGATGTTCCCCTTGTTGCAACAGCATATGAGGGTATACTAAATGGCCCCGCCAACAAATTTGGTGTCTAAAATGTAAAAAAAAAAGAAATAGTTTGAAACTTGTATAAATGCTTCCTATGGGCTAAATTTTTTAGCCACAATCTTTCCTCCTCTATTCTCAGGACACGTGATTTTCGGCTTGAAACTCCAGCGGAAATAGTTGTTTAAAATCTTACTAACCTCACCAAGTCTTACTACTGTGGCAAAAAACAACAACAACATTGAACAACAACAACGTAACAACACTCAGCCATGTACAGTTATAATCCATGCGTTCACTGCAGTACTCATTAAATCATGGAAATGATGTAAAAACAGTCCGAAAACTCAGCAAAACCTTTCACTGAGGATCACTGAGCACCCCCCTGTTCCACTTAGTTTAAGAAATTTTGCTGTCGTTTCTTAAAGTGCACATGTGTCTAACGTACCTGTTGGTAATCCATAAACCAATCAGACGTTGTGGACTTGCTATTGATTAAGGTTGGTAACTGGCAGGGTGTCAATTCAATTTCTGAATGTTCACTTTGAAGCTCAACTTCTGTATTGTTTAACTTTGGAGTGCATGGAACACACTGTGGTTCAGTACTTCCAAGAGGAAAAGGTTCTTCATCAACTGCGAGGGATGGGGGGATGATTTTATCTCTTGGATAGGAGGGAATCCTTGAGAAAATAAATAAATAACAATAAAAAGCGAAACATTGAAAAAAGCAAGCATGTTTAATGAAATCACAACCATGCTGGGTCTAGTTTGAAATGGTCCTATAAAAACACAAAGAAACGCCGCAAACTGTTTATTTGAATTTCTCTAATAAAACTGACTGATCGACGGTACTGTATTGCGAGCGACAAGGGTAAAAGTAACAAGAAAACATTCTAATTGGGGAACCCGCTTAGATCTGCCTCTAAATGACGACTTTTGTAACTTTCTACAATCGGACTCCCTGTAAGCGATCACCCAGAGGGCAAAGAGTTGAACTGCAGGAGGTCTTTTGCGAGGAGAATTGTGGACACATCTACTTTTTGGAGAGAATGTCGGTATTGCATACAGTTTAGTAGGTTACAAGAAATTTATATGCAAATCCATATTGTTTCTAAAAGTTCTTCTCATACTCTTGAGTGGCGTAGAACATGCAGTGATCGGACCATATTATCAGTTGATCGCTTAGAAGAGGTTAAACTTGAACAGTGGAAAATTCTATAACCGGCATCCTAAAAAGTGGTCGCAGTTGCATGTACGAGAGGTGGTCGTTTACTTGAGTTTCCAACGATAAGGCTTTGACCGGGAAAATATTTGTTATTTTGAAGAAGTGGTCGCTTATGAGAGGTGGTAGCTTAGGCGAGGTGGTCGCACATGAAGGTTCGACTGCATTTAGTTCACAAAGAATTAAGTGATCACTTACCAGTTAAATTCGGCGTGTTTTCTTTTTAGCTGTGCAACGTGAGCTGTCACATCAAACCCATATTGATTTTGACGTACGGAGTTCGCCCTTTTAAGGCGTTTCTGCTTTCTTTTCTTCAGCTTAGAAGGGTGTGGCAGACTTCCCATGGAACATGCAGATTTTATATCCTTCTGAGCATCATTGTTAAGTCCAGAACTTCTTGTTACAACTTTGCTGCAAACCTAAATGCCAAAAGACAAATCTTTTCTACACAGAAGCAGGGGCTTTTCAGAAGTGGCGTAAAATTCCGAAAGTAAGCTCCGGGGCTTATATTTTTCAAAGGTCCCTTTTGAGGGGCTTATTTTTGGAGGGGCCAATATTCGGAGGGGCTTATGTACGGAGGGAAATTTGCGTTTCAAAATCGATTAGGCTAGCTTGTAGTGGCAAGGAAACTTACCATTTTCGCTTTCTTTTACTTTGTATTCGAGGGCAAATTCCAAGTACAAGCCCCCGGGGGGCTTATATTCGGAGGGGCGATTTAACGGAGGGTTTTTTGCGTTACGATTTTGGGGGGCTTATATTTGGAGGGGCTTATACATGGAGGAGCTTATTTTCGGAATTTTACAGTATTACACTGGCCGGGTTAGCCAAGTTGACCAAAAAAGATCTTGAATTTCCTTTTGATGATGAATACAAACCTGAAATATCTTTTAAGTTTTCAATCACCTACCGAAGTTCTATATTTGGTGTCTGAATGCCTAGCAGACTTTTTTCACAAGTAGAAAGAATAAGGAAAGATTTAAAATAGACCTCGTTCATGATGGCGGCCTGACCTCGTTAGCATGTGCAAAATACAAAAAAAAAACCGTTCTTTAAAACGAGGTCAGAAAGAGGTCTATGAATTTAATTTCTTATGTCAAAGGTAGCCCACACATTCATTTAGTTCAATTATTTTGCTTTTACCCCAACAGCAGCAACAGCAGATGGCAGATGGTGTTTTGCTCTTCCTGTATATTCACTGACACTGGAGAAATAATATAATAAAAAGATTTTTAAAAAGTCGAATGGGACTATTACTTCTAGCTTTAAAAAGTTTACTTATCAAAAATTGTTTTGTAAACAGGCTTATTAAGTTTAAGTCTTAAGCTAACTAAAACGAAATAAAGAGAAAAAAAAAACTGCTCACCATATTTTGGAGCTGGGCTCTTCGGTAGATTTCCAAAGCAAATTTTCGTTTTGATTATCATTGTTCTGTGATTTTTCCTGCCTCCTGACGGTTTGCGAACTCCTTTTAGTAAAAAACGTTAAGGAGTGTTCAAGTAAAGTAAACTAAGAGACAAGCTTTTATAAGATAAACAGGCTTAGTTAAAGTTTGTTTTAAAAAGCTTTGTCGAAACTTCGCCTTACCTTGCAGACGGGATAACTAACCAGCTCTCGCCGTAACTGTCACCTTCATTCTCGGAATCATCAGCCATCCCATTTCATCAGCAAAAGTTTTTAACATAAGCGGAGATTTTCAGAAACCATTCATTGTTTTGTTTTTAAATTATCGTAAGTTCGTTTTTTAAACGAGCAGTTAGACGTTGAGTTAGACGCGCCCTCCCCATTTTCGCGCGCATTTTTCCCGCCTTTTTACAAATGCCGCATTCCTGCCGCTAGGCACGCAATACGTCTAGAAGGGACTTTAGGAGGTCCAACGAAAAGTAACGCTGCGCTGCTACAGGCTATTGTCAGTGTGCCTTCATTATAGTTGATATGACAACCACACTGGTATCTGTGGCCCATGACATTTGCACTAAGACTGTAAGCGTGATTTGAATCCGCGTCAATACATCCAGTATAAAGACGTTTCTTTAAATCGTTACTCCGGCGTGTCTGGTTGGCTCAGCAGGAGCCCATCACTATATAAGCTCCTGCTCAAATTAAATAAATTCTTCATAACCAGCAAGCGTTGACCAAATTTGAAAGACGTTTGCGATATCCGATAAAATGACATAAAAGCTGCCGGGTATAAACCCAGTGCACTAGCCAAACAACGTAGCATGAACAGCAAATTAAAAAATACAACTCGACAAGCATATCTGGAAATGCATTCTAAGCGGCGCCGGTTGTATCTGTTCCGTCATCCTGGAGGAACTTGAGTCTTTTCGAAATTACAAGGGCTTCAGTACAATTTTCGGGAAAATTTTAAGTACAATTTAACGTTTTACGAAAGTAAGAATTTTTCTATTTTTCTCTCTCCGTTACTTTTTTAAATCCGAATATTCTAGGTTTCCTTTTTCTACGAGAAATAGCCCAACATTGGGGGTGATATGTGAAAAAAAAAAGTTCAGAAAATCGTATGAAATTTATTAGACAAGCTTAGAAAATTGTACACGAATGAAACACGCAGTTAGAAATTTTTAGCCGTCCCAAACTAATCGAAAATTCTAGGCCATGTTTGCTTTTCCGAACAGATATTTTACAGAAAACAGTGGTTCCCCTATCGGCTTTTGTGGACGCCGATCTGAATTTTAAGAGTCGAGAGAGACTGGGTCCACGCATGGACTTATGGGAATTTATGGAGTTGCATAACGCCTGGTTGAAATCAGTGAAAACGTAGACAAGAGCGAGCGAGAGCCGAGCGAGAATATTAGAAGGAATCGCAGCTTAAATTTGAAATGATTCGGCTCGTACCTCTTTCCAGAACTTTGGGTAGATCTGTAAGTATGAAAAGTTAATAACAGTATCTTTGAATGGATAAGATTAGAAGCTAGTAAATAAACAGTCAGCTTACCGCAACGAACAAGATCGATCCACCGTAGACCTATTTTTTAGTCAGCTTGCATAACATTGTAAAGTTGACCGACTCAAGCTCTATTTTAAGAGTCTTAGCTGCATTATTAAACGTGTATGATTTCCAAAGGGCACTGTGCTTTACCATTGGGCCATGTATTTGCTCATCAACGTCTGCGAAATAACCAGAACAATAACAGTTTTGTCAGTGCTTTTTAAATTCAGTCAGACCTCTGAAGGGACAGAACCGATTGTCCAGGCGTTGCTTTGAGAGATGTCCGTATTACAAAAAAAAAGAGAGCGTGAAGTCTGGTGTCTTTGGGATTAAGAAAACTGTCAATAACAGAAGTCTGGAACTCCTTGCCAACTCAAGTTTCGTTTTCTAGTTACTTGAGGGTTTGTTGGTCAGTTTACTTCAGGATGATTTGCTTTTGGCATATGATTGTTGATTGAATAATAAAGTATTTGTTGCATATTTTACAATGTAATTAACATGTTCAAAATATGTGAATTCTCTCTAAATGCAGGGAAACTCTTTGCGACTCTTGGTCTCAAACAGAAGTGCATCAACACTGGTAATTGCTGAACATGACAATAAAACAGTTGGTCCCATAACACTCAGTGCTATTACAGCTGCTAAAAAACTTGGTGGTGATATATCAGCATTGGTTGCAGGAACTAGCTGTGGAACAGTAAGTTATGCTACTACACTGTACCTGGTCAGCTCTGAATTGGTTGGCTGAACTCTTAAAGCCCCAATATCCACAGCAGGAACCATCACACTGAGAACCTCAGTGGAAAGTTTTCAGATACTTACCAAGTCACCCAGAGCCGGGGAAGGGCTGGGAGCAAAAAGCCTTTGACAAAAGTACAAGCAAAGACAATGCGTGCAAAATGACTTGACATCCAAAGCAGCGCTGTAAAAATACTGGGGCCCTGAAAAAAAACCCTAAGCCCACCCCACATACGATTAGCAACGGAGACCACTGGCCAGCATTGTCTCGTGTTAAAAGGAGCTGTGTCATGAAATTCAGCCAAATTAGGAAATTACAAAATGCCTGTTAAATTAAGAGAAACAGAAAAATAGCTGCTTAAAAACTTTAAAGGACGGTTAAAACAACATACATGTAACAGAAACAACAGATGCCAGGGATGAGCAAAACTGAAGAAGATTGAAACGGATTGAAATTAGGATTTTTGAAAACTGTTCAGCCTAACAGTTTTTCAAAGTTGATCCCTGCTGCTTGCAACTTTAAAAATAATGCTCAGGAGACATATTTGTTTGCCTCGGATCTCTGATTTTGTCATCTACGTGTAATTTCTTTGCTTACTTTAAGTTCCATAGCAATTGAGGGCAAGTAATTCGCAAAATTAAACAAAATGAACTGGACTGCCGTGACACAGCCCCTTTAATTTAACCTCGCCTAAATTACATTTAGCCACATATAAAAATTCTCCAGACTGATCTCTATTTGCTTTAAAATGAATATTTATTTGTGGAGGGAATTTGATAAAAGATAAGAGTGTTTTCCCATGGGTGATCATTTTGGAAGTGTCATTAATAATGAGTTAATACTATTAGAAGAAAATAATTTTATTACATTGGTCTTTCTTGGGACTTAAAGGGTTAAATACTGTTTAGCATGGTCTGTATTACATTATTTTATTTGGCACTACAGTAAATTATTTATGTTACATGTAATAATTTCTCTCATTCAGTTGTGTGTGCTTTGATTGTCCAATAAATATTATACTGGGCCATATTTTATAGTATGGACTGCCAAGTTCAAAAGTTTGTTTTGGTCACAGTTTGAGACAGAAGAACGTTGTAAAGCTCTGTTTTTTTTTCATACAGTTTTGGAATAGGGGTGTTTAATGTTAAAACCCAATGGTTTTGAAGACTAAGAGCAACAATTTTTAATGCTCCTGTTTAAGACTTGATGCTCATCCTTAATCCACAGCCATTTCACTTGAAGTGAGATCTTTGATGCCCTCCCAGTCTCTGTTTACACCCAGAGAGATATATATAGCGGATACCTTGTTTTCTTGATCTGTACTGTTAGTTACAGGACTTTGCTTTTTTACCATTGGATTTATGACCTTTGCGCTTGAACCATAAATACATAAATACCAGCGGAAGAAGCCCAGTTTGTAACTTACATTTGTTATTAGTACGGAACTCAAACTAGGTTAATACGTAAGAGGTATAATAATAATAATTATCACATTGGAACTGTCTACTGCAAGAACTGATTTTCTCTGTAACATTATTAAAAATTATTTTACTATCTTGCATTTGTGATGTTCACACTAGAGTGTACATGACTGTTTGTATGTGATAACCATTCCGTCATCAGGTTGTTGAAGAACTAAGCAAAGTTGAGGGAATTAGTAAAATTCTTGTTGCTGAGCATGAAGCTTATAAAGGTTTCTTACCAGGTACTGTAACTCAGAATGTTTTTGAGGAACCATAAATTGTATTAACTAACAAAATCCCACATCTTCCTTTCATACATTTTTGTTCCACCATGTAATCTATTACATTTAATTAGTCTAGGGATTATAACCAGGAATTTCAGACTAGACAACGATATTAACCACTTGGATGTTCACTGTCAGTTGTGTATCTGTTTTAGGGGCGAGCTTAAGCCATGAGAATGCTGACATCCCAGACATCATAAATAGCAACCTTCTTGCTTGAAGGAATGCTAGAACTGTCTCACACAAAGCTGAATGCCTTTGTTTTAACTCCCACTGTACAAAATTAATTTTTTGAGTCACAGCATTTAAATACATGATTGTGCACATATGTTACAGGTCAAAATTATATTCACTAGGTTAAAACTTTTTAACCTAGTAGGGTGATTATCAATTTCCATTGTCTCCTTACCCTAATAATTTCATGAGTAATTAGGGCTAGGAGACAAAGGAAATTGAGAATCAACCTAGGTTTAAAAATTTTAACCTGAATTTAACTTTGACCTGTAACACAAAAGCTTTATTGTTTCTCATGCTTCTGCAGAGGTCCTTGCACCATTGATTGTTGGAACTCAAAATCAGTTCAACTTCTCACACATAACTGCTGGTGCTACAGCAATAGGAAAGGTACCAGTACTTTGTGACATCTTATTTTCTCTAATGATAGGCAGGCAGTCTTCATCTGCCATACATCTAGGCTGGAAAATGCCCAGCCAATTATTGAACAGTGTACAGTATGTAGCTCCTTCTGCAACGTCCACAAGGAAACACAGTATGAAGATAGTGTTTGACAATGAGGGGATACTGTAGAGATACATGTAGTGGTCAGCACTTCAGACTTGTAATCCAGCAATCCCAGTTTTAAGTCATGCCAACCACTATGTAATCCCTACTGTTTCTCAGAAGTAATAAGTTTTACTCACTCTGCCATGCTTGTAATAGTGAGTGGGTTGCATCCTATCAATATCACTGGGTTTTAAACCATGTTACATGCATTTTTTAGATTCTTTTTATAATAATACAGTCAGCTCTCTCTTTTAGTTTGTTTGACGTCTGTTTTATAGAGAGTCAAATAAAGGACCAACTCTAGGTGTCTGTTTTACCAAGGTGTGGATGAAAAAGCATAATGCACTTCCACTTTACATGTATAAACAAAGATTGTATTAATATTTTCATGATCATGGGTGAAGATTATGATGATGATTATGGTAGGTTCCTTAGAGTATGTGTATTAAAACCTGACAAGTCTCTCTTCTTGATCATTATTTCAGAATGTTCTTCCACGAGT